GTATGGTGGGTCGCTTAAGTGGATCTTCATCTCTGTGAGTTAGCCATGCCCTGACTTAGATCAGCCCAGAGGTTGTTTCAGGGTTCAATCTGTGAGTTAGCCATGCCCTGACTTTGATCAGCCCAAGGTTGTTTCAGTTTTAGAAAAAATTTAAAGGTTTAAAGCCAGAAATGTGTTTACTCACATGCAAAGAACTCGTTGACAAGCTGTTGTATGGTGRGTCGCTTAAGTGGATCTTCATCTCTACACATCTTAATGATATCCTTTAACGGTCCAGTGAGCTCATCRGGTAAAACAACTTGGTCTTCTTTCACAACAGCCTTTTCTCTGATATCTGCAACACTAAGGGAATTTCTTCCTGGCCATGGCCTGTCCCCCGTCAATAAGTATGCTGCAACTTGACCATAAGAATAGATGTCTGCTCTTAGGTAGAAAAAAACATCATCTTCTATCTCTTCCTCAAGAGTACATGTACTTTCCTGTGCTTCACCTACACAAAAAAAAAAGATATTATTAGTAGTGAACAATCATGTTTTAAAAAAGGTGATAGAGGAGAGACTGTGGAATTTTCAGGGAGGGTCATCAAGTTTAAAATTACACAGCCACAAAAGATTGAGAGAAAATGACAGATAATTCTAGGGGGGGTGGTAAGTCACTGCAGGGTGCAGGCCTGTATTTTCATTGACTCCAAAGTTCTGCCATTGAAAAAAAAACCTGAAAGAACAACATGGTTTAAATACTTCAATAGGGCTGTGATTGGGAAATATATGAGACTAGTATGGGAAAAGGCCCCCTGCCCCACCCCTTCCACGACCCCTGTAAAGGAAAGGGGTGAGGTTGAGTAATAAATGAGAAAAAATGAGGAAAAACAGGAGGTACATGTAAGGTGGGGATGTCAACAGTGTACATTCCATGAGGGGGATGAATCTTTAGACATGCAGTCAAACTCAATAACTCACTGGGGATGAGTAATGAGCAGTGGCATAGCGTTAGTACCAGAGTTGAAGGGTTGAGTACATGCCTTTCAGCGTGAAAAGCCTGTCAAATCCACAGGTACTGTAGCTCAACAAAATAAGAAAAATTTATGATTTTCAGACAAATTTATAGGAGAGGGGGGGGGGGGGGTCACCTCTCACTAGGCCCCTGCAGGTGATGAGATGGAGTGATGAGAAGGAATCTTAAATATGTTTTGTTACTTGACACTTTAACCCTAATAAATTAGAGAAATGTATTCATTTTGAAGCAAAAAAATCTCTTGGCCTTATAAATATGCAGAGCTTACCATCAATATTATGATATTCTGGATCATCTTCAAAACATTTCCAGATCTCTGGTGCTGTCCATCTTGCTTGGAACATGGAAATCATTCCTTCACTGCTGGTATAGATTTGACGAGACAATCCAAAATCAGCAAGTTTAACTTGCATGCTTCTGATGTTAAGCTGCAATGTGATAGGAAATCTGAATATAGTGTTTACTGAAAAGACTTTCATTTAGGAATCAACCTGCACAGCACCGTAGCCACCAGTACAATTGGTACGGTCTTAGCTGCTCCACTTTTTTTACCTTCAGAACCACTTTCCCCCTACTAAAAAATATTTATTACACATTACAGTAAGTAAATAAAAACACAAAGGGCYGCCTTTTTTTAAAACTGGTTCATGGTCTACTTGGTGGCTACAGCTTTGCTGGAAATCACAGTTGTTGAAATGTGAGTGTAGTATAGTCTCAAGTTCAATTTTATGAGTAAAAGTTGTCAAGTATTTATCAACTTTGGCTGTACCTAGTCTTTTTTTCAAGTGAAAAATAGAATGTATGAATTATCTTCTCTTTCAATGAAACTTCTTCCAATTTCAAGCACCACATATATGGCCTTAGCTTTTCTGTTCTCTCTGTTTACAACATATGATGAGGGCACAGTGCCTGATCAGGGAAGTGCTGGAAGCAAGTTTTAGATTGGGGAGACATTACAGTGTATTTAAATGTGAAGTGAGTTCTATAGCCCCCTTCCTAACTTGATCCTCTTCCCTGATGCTTGATTGGATATTCAGACAGCAATAGACCTATAATGCTTTCCCATTTCAGACCAGGTGACATTCCCTAGACCTCCATTTTTTCTCCAAAGGGTGCACATGAAAAGACACATGAATATGGATACAACTCAAACAAATAATCTTATTCTCAAGAGAATGAAAGGTGGTCTGAAATGGGAAAAAACATTATGCCCAAGCTAAAGAGGTCTTTTAGTAGGACTTTTAATCCTCATACAGTCTTAACAACAGTACTAACCAATATATTATCAGGCTTGAGATCTCTATGACTAACAGGAGGTGCCAAGCTGTGAAGATAGTACAGGCCATTCGCCATTTGTCTGACAAAGTTCCACACTTGACCAAGAGGCAGTCCCCTTGTTTCAGGTGTTCTTTGGCTCTCTACATACTTATACAAGTTATTGGGTATGTGCTCCATCACTATGAATGGGCTTCCAGCATTAAGGTTTAATTCTGAGATTTTTTGCTCCAAAACATCCATTCCTCTGAATGCTACAATGTTGTCATGCCTAAAGTCCCTATAAAAGTAATAATATTATACTAAGAAATATGCACGGGAAAAATGGGTGGGTCAAGGGCAGATCCAGGGGGGCAAAGGGGGGCTGAAGCCCCCCTTCAGCAGAAAACAAAACAAAACAAAACTGAAGAATTGGATGCTTAAATTTTTTATTGTTTTCTGTTGTGTTGACGGAAGAAACTCAATTAGCCCCCCCTAAACTCAATTAGCCCCCCCTAAAATTTTGGCTGGATCCGCCCTTGGGGGTGGCAGTGTGAACACTCTCTTCTCACTAGTGCGACCCAGGTTTGAATCCTGGACTCAATTGATGTCATGTGTATAGTTTCTAGATAGTTCTCTCCTGTGCTTTGAGGGTTAAATTTTTCTCGAGGTTCTCTGGTTTATCAATTCGATCATGGAATGAGGGTCTCATATTTGTTAACCACTGGCTATTAAGGTAATTCCCTTGTTTTGCACTGCACATTTTTCTGTGCATGCAACTAGAAGAATGGAACTAACAAAGTTTAGGCATTTTTCTTTAGGAAACTAAATGAGAAACATGTTTCAAACCAATTTTCACTTTTTTCTCTTTTTTGTGTAGAGAATTTGCAATTTTTACCTGATTTGCCCCAGTCTCCACTCGGAAAAGTGTCAGTTTTGGACTATTTTGAGATGTTTTTTCAAGATAAATCAAAAATGAGAATGGTGACCCCTATTTTTTATTTCAGATTTTTGATAAATGCGATGCTCRTCATTATGTATCAAAATATGAAGGAAAGATTATTGGATACATTTTGAAATATTTTGATGGGAATAGTTGACATGTGCAATTTTTGGACGTTCGTAGAGGCGCCCATACCTGCATTTTTCACTAATAGTTCAAGAATCATAGTCATCCAATAATTTTAATGGATTTAATAATATAGATTATCTAGTAAACTTCGAGATATAAGTACGTTTTGTTATATGAAAGTACTTTTAACGGTGAATAAAGGTTCTTGATTGCAGCTTCTGGTTGCTACCGCATTTCACTATAAAACCCATAAATAGACATATTTGGAGAGCATCTCGTGAAAAAACGAGAACGGTGACCCCATCTTTTTATTGCAGTTTTTAAAYGTCCATAACATAATTAATGTCCATGCAAAGTTTCAGGACAAAGTTATTGGCAAAATTTCTTTCAAGGGAATTACCTTAAGTCCTACCCTCATAAAATAAGGATGATGCAGGTTTATGCACATGCCCTAAATACTCTGATCTGCCAAGAGGTTGTTTCAGGGTTCAATAAAATTTCAATTTTCAAACATTTTGATGCCATTGATCAACACCTTAATAGGTTTCCTTCAGTGAATAAGGCTTTAGATTCTTTAAAATCTTTGAGTACTTTAATTGCCACCACATTTCCTTTCAGAGTGGCTTTAAATACGTTGGAAAAGCCTCCTTCACCAAGACGGGTCCATTTGGAATTCATAAGGTCATCTTGGCTTACTTTCCCTGCGTTCAAGCTGCTGTTGGCTTTTAATAAAACAAAGTAACTAAGTTATTGACTTTTACATATTCTATCAAATTTGCAAATGTATGGGGAAGATTAATCTCATTGGGGGAAGGGGGAGGCAGGCTAACAAGGCTTACTGGAAGAGTGCTTACTGATACACACACATGCACTGATATATGTAAGATTTAATAGGAATTTGAATTTGCTTTATAAATATAAGGTTATTTTAAAAATAAAGGATTGGTCATTGATTAAGGTGCTTCCATTGAGTTTTGGGTGCATGCAGGAAGCTGCTAAGCATGAAGGAAGCATCACACGAGGCGTAGCTGAGCGCAAACGACCGATTTTTATAATTACCAAAAACATTAAAAAATCTTCGTTAAGTTTGTTAATTTTTTTCTAGCGTGTGCTACCCAATCACAAAAGAGTGCACCAGCAATTCTTAGATGCATGCTCGAGCTCGCTGCTTAACCAATCAGGGGCGATGTTAAAAGGTAGCTATGCTATAATGGGGTTTTAATAAAATGATATTTTATTTTCCAGTTCTATATCAGATATCAGATATGTGCAAATAGCTCATAAGGGGTGGAACATTAGATAATTTAGAGGGGGGGGGGGGTTGCAGGATTCTATGTCGCACACTATTTATTTAATTTGTAATAACCCCTGCACACATTTTTTTGTTTGCTTGATATTTCTTTTGTAAAAAGAGATGTTTTTTCGTGGGTAAAGTGCTTGCTCCATATGAAGCGCTTGCTCGATATTTTTTTTGGATTTTAATACGCAGCCCCCCCCCCCCCCCTTATATTATATAATGGTCCGTCCCTAAAGACCTTACATGCCCTAGTAGTCATATAGCCCTCCCTTAGCCCACTTCCAGTTACAGCGTRTAGCCTTCAAATTCGCCATTTTGTTATGAAAAATTATTACAAAAAATTAGCATACCTTCATCTCTGCATACCTCTTTGAATGTTTTGATATTTGTAATAGCACCAAGTAAAAGCGAACGAACTACTGACAATTTGCTATCCAGCTTCACGTGATCTATGCTTGAAGTCAGCTCTATAAATGCCTCGGATATTTGACTTTCAATTAATTCTAATGACTTTAGCTTATTTTTTACGATACCATCTGCAGTTAAAGACCTAAGATGAAGTGGATCTTCTTTTGATTCGGCCATTGTTTAAAAAAACACCTATTTTAGGATTTTCATAATCTCGAAGTCTGATTTCAGATCTCTCCCATATAGAGGGTATTCCCCGCCAAACATAACAATATATAAGCGCAGTCATGATTGGTCGTTTGAAATTGATTTACCAATCAAATCCCATGTTATATATARAATATAACTATTTCGTCATACCAAGATATACGAACCAATGAGGCCATGAACTGCGAGGCTTTCATTTTCTATTCCTTTGAGTTTTCCTAAAAAACGTAGTGTTTTTAACTGCTTAGGAATCATAAGAGACGAAAATATCAACCCTCGTGATAGTCTTACTTCTTCTGGCTTAAAGGTGTTGGAAGTGGAGGTTCCACACAAAACACACAAAACTGAAAAGGTCTTGAAGCGCTGACAGACTTGGTTGAATCCAAAGTGAAAACTCAATTTGGAGTACAAAAGAAGGCCTAAAAACACTTACAAATAATTCTTAGCGACTTAACTTGTGTTTAGTAATGAACGGCCATTCAAAAGGTAAGTAATTAACAATTGCGTTTCGCAGTTTAATCTTTATTTAGGTTATAGACTTACTACTTACTTTTCTTATTACTTTTCTAGTAATAAACGTAAACGTAAATATATWTTTTTTCGCCATTTTCGTTTAATAGTTACTCGCACTGGTAGTAGTGGTGTCTACTCAGATGTCTCTTCTTCTGTAGACCTCAGGTATCAATACTTGTACTGAAAATGATACACTTATTTCAATAAAGTTAGTCACCAAAAACCTAGAAAACTGAGATTACTGAGCATCATGAGAAACTTTTCATATCAAAAAAGCATATATGTACAAAGACAGTGACACTGTAACCGGTAAAATATTCGCAAGTCGATGAACAGTTATCAATCRGTTGAATGTGTAAAATGAATGTACTCATGATCCTTGTCGGCCTCAACTTTATTGCTTGTCAGGTGACTAACTTTATTGAAATAAGTGTATATTAGGATCGCAATAGTTTTGTTAGCAAAGGGTGTGCCGAAAACCTGGACCTAGGCCAATTGGCCCGGGCCATGGCCCTGCCTATGGTTCTATCTATGACCTACCTTTGTTTCCCTTAATTTCATCTTAATATCAATCTTTTTCACAGTATTCATTTGCAGAAGCTCTCTGAATGAATCTTAGCCGACAATGGCAGCCCGGCAGCTTTTTTTAGGACCACAGGAAGCCCAAAATTCTATTGTAACTATGCATTTTTTAGCAGCACCCATCAAGACTGTTTGTGATTTATTTTATTAYGTAYAAACATATTTGGATTGCATGTTAAAAATAGAGCGTTTGGGTTGTGTGGATGATGCATCTCTGTAAATTGTCAAAAGAAGTAATTTGATATATTCATAAAGTAGTGTTATATCTGATATTTATAAACCCCTACTTTAGCACCAAACAATATAAGACAGTCAATTTTTAAATATTTAATTTTTATTTTCAAAATGCAGGCATAAACAGTTTGACCTGAGAACCTAACATATGAAAGGTGACATTTGTTTTCCCATTTTTTGAACAAAACTTATAAATGAACTATAAATCCTGAATGTCAACAGGCAATCAATTTCAATATCTTTATTTTTGAAAATACAGGAACTGAAACAGTTTGAACTGAGAACCTACTGCTGACAGTAATTTGATTTTAAACAAAACTGATAAACAAACTGATAAACAAATAAATCCTGAACATCAACATACATGTACACTTACCATTGACTTTTCGAGCATGTGTCAATGCAATTAAAAGTCTTGTGTAAGAGTGGATAATCAAACAAATCCATCAGCAAACTTGTATGTAGACTCTTTACTAGAAAAGAGATTAATATAACATTACTTTAATTGCAGTTTATCCCAAAAGAGAAATGAAAACAATGAAATATAAACATATGAATTCACCTCATGCTCGAAAAGTCAAGAAAGACAAATCTGCTGACTCATCAAAACAACTGGCTCAAATAAATGCACAGGAAGCCCAATATTAGTTACAATAGAAGTTTGGGCTCCTGCCGTGCTAACAAGATAGCTGTAGTGCTGCCATTGTCAGCTAAGATTCTTTCAAAGGATTTCTGGCAATAAATACTGTGAAAAAGATTGATATTTCAGGGAATTTATGAGAAATAAAGGTAGGCCATAGGTAGGGCCATGGCCTGAGCCAGGCCTAGGTCCAGGTTTTCGGCACACTCGTTAGCAAACATGAAGCTGTAAGCGCTATACAGGGACCACCAAGCCCAATTTTTACGGTCTATTCAGAAATTTCCAGTATGGCGTGGGTATACTTACTTTATACTTTTATTCAAGAAGTCAATACAAAATACAATTACTGTACACTTAACCTGCAAATAGCTATGGCTAGTTGAGGCAGGTTAATGTGGTTATAAGAATACAATGTGGTTATTAATAATTTGTAATATATAAATTAATGAATAATTTGTAATATATAAGTGTATGCGCGTATATGTCTTTGGAAAAAAGGAAGGTTATAGGAATACAATATTTACAACTACTGAATAAAAGATTTATAATGAAGAATTATATAAACGTATATATATTTGGGAGAAAGGATGGTTATGATATTGCACATTATTTGTAAATTTGCAAATTTGTTTTGTTATTGCTTTGATTTTAAAGGCAATTGAAGTAAATTATGAATTATATAGATTTATATAGATTTTCACGAACGCCCGCTCTGATTGGCTGAAGTGCTATGTTTTATCAGAGTATAGAAACATAGATATGACGTCAAAACCCTGTTTTCTATGCAAAATTAAACATAGAAATGACGTCACAGGAATTTGGTTTTTCACATGAGCGGATGCACTCGGGTCCGGATTGTAAGTACCTACATACATTTACAGTACAGATTGTCCCGCATTCCTTGGATGCCAAGATGGGCTTGGGATTAACTCCAACACCTGAAAGTGTTCTAAGCTCAAGTTGTTTTAATCCCCCTTGTYGCAGTCCTTTATCTGTAATAAATATTTTCAACATGTCATCACTTAGAATGCTTGAGCCAAACGAGGTATATATTTTTTGAATTGAACAGAAACTAGAAAGCTTATTTGAATGTTAAGTGCAAAGGTTTTCGATTTGCCATATCTGATACAGATATACCAAAGCRATTCTCGAGAGCTTTGTATACTTCGCCTATTCCAATTCTTGGATCTACTCTCGGCACACAATTTTTTTTCCGGACRACTGCAGGTCAAATCTAATCCTGCTCAATAATTCAATTGATTCTTTGTTAAACACAAAAAGTTGATTGTCGATTATTTAAGTATTTCCAACATTCACYGCGCACCGGTGGTCGACCAGTAATTAATTTTACTTAGGCCCTGTGTATTATGTCCGCAGTTATCAATGATAGCAAGTTGTACATGTTCCTGGTGTGTAGCTGAAATATATGTTAGAATTGTTTTATTTTCCCTCAGGAGACTATCATCTTTGTTTATATTATTTACATTCACTGTACTTTATCAGTTTTTTTCAAATCTTACTAGAGCTACAGAACTGCAAATGAAAASATTTGAAATCATTACGCAAATATAGTATAGAGAAGTCAGTTAATCACTCGATTTTTGATTGTGTGCAAAAATAATTATGTTGAAAAAAGTAACAAACAAAAAATWAAAAAAAAACGTGCAATCAACACAATTTGTATTCATGAGAATATTTCACATTTCACATCCTAAAGTGAAAATCATATCTTAAGTTAACCTTCTCCACGTGCATCATTTTAATATTGGTATAACAGTGTGAATAACGACAACATAAAATAAGCACGCCACATTGCTCTTGATTGGCTGCACTACTTCATGTCATCCATTTATATTTTAATCCTTATTTACAATATTGCAATCAMCAATAACAATAGTCTATGGTCATTTTATTTTACACATGACTGAGGAAATTTCTGATAAAAGCAATTATGGTTTCCACTTTTAGCAGTAGAAAACTCATGAAAGGATTCCTGCTCTAATGATTAGACAATACACATGGATATTAATAGTATTCCAAGCACACTGCGGTGGTACACCTGGATGACTGGTCTACTGGTTAGATGTTATACATGAACATTTATAGTATTCCAAGCACACTCCGACGGTACACCTGGATGCCTGGTCTACTGATTAGATAGTACACAATATGGACATAAATAATAATAATATTCCAAACACACTCTGATACAATAAGGGTTAATTATAAACAGTTTTTAAATAATAAACACACTCGTCAGTAATCCTGGGTACGTAGTCTTTGAATTTTCCTTGAAGGTTGACGAGCTATACATTTTTTGTTGTTTGCAGTTCGATGAAGTTAGAGATAAACATCCTTAGTTCAGCGCAAATTTTTTTGGACTAGACATATAAACAAGTCGATCGTCTTGCRGCTGTTCTTGTAGCTTGTTCTTGTGGTTTTGCGAGTAAGAATGTCTTTGATTATTCCCTGAATATGAGCTATCAAATAGAACTTCACACATGATTTTGTCAAAGCACCAACTTGATCAAGCTAGAATTATAAATCAATTTCATCTCCTGTGATTTTTTTAGCCTTTATTTGCCATGGCATTGTGCAGCAGTCCAATGTCTTCCATTAGAATTCTGGCAAACTATTCGGGGAATCTTTTAACAAATGTGGTTCAATAGAAGTGATTCCTTCGATGTAATTCTGCACATCTTGGATGACAAAGTGTCCATTTTTTTCTGGATCTTGTAATTTTCTATTGTAAACAAGCGTAAAGGGAGAAAAACACTCTAAGTGTGGCTCTCATGCCAGCTGCCAGATTCCCACCGAACCAGAACTAGCTAAGAAAGGTTTTAGCGTGGCATGGTTTCAAGTGTCAAGCATAGATGACTATTGATCTTAAATTTCATTAATAAATCTCATTTACATAAAAGAGGTGATGACAGTTCAAATTTACTTAGGAAACACCTTACCCGTATTAATCTTTATGTGTTATACTTACAGTAACGACCCGGTGCGTCCGCTCATGTTAAGYATTTTGACATTTTGAATTTCAAATTTTTATTATATAAGTAACCGGTAAGATATTATTTCCTAAAAAGAGAGGTTATTGCACTTTTAGTTGATTTTTAAAGTGTATATGACACGAAAACATTTCATCGTTTAAAGTGTATAGTTTGTTAGTAATATTAAACATACCGTAATGAAATTTGTTTCAAAAGCTTATTTCTTGAGATATGTGAGAAAATTAATATCAATTTGTGACGTCATTTTGTTGACACGTACTCTAGATTCAGTAGTAATGCACAAAATATAAATTGTAATTCGTATAAAATAACAACAAAAGGCATATTTTATTCAATTTCATTTGATAGCTTACGTAGTACTCTTCAAATGTTGGGAAACTGAAAAGTGCACTACCTGAAATTAAGATTCCACATTCAAACATATTTCATGTATTTGCGACTAAATCTGGAGACTTGTAAACAAAATGACGTCACAACTTGTGCTAAATTTTCTTGAATTTCTAGAGAAATACGTTTTTGAAACAAATTTAACTGTGTTATTCTTATTAATGACAATAAAATACACATTTTTAACATTAAATTTTTTTYGTGTCATGTGCACTTTAAAAGAAAATCACTCTGAGAGCTCGCTTTTGGAGTTTTAATTAACAATTTGTATATATACGTTTTATTTGCTCGGCCCCTAATGCTTATGTTTTTTTTCCACAGAATAAATCTGCTAGGCCAAAAAAGTTCACCAAAATTATCTATGCAACTAATTCTGGGGAGGGGGAAAACTACTTGAAAAAATAGACATTTTTTTTTATACCCTCATCACTTTTACAACATGCAGAAGTGAAAAAAAGTTTTGAAAAACTGTGAAAAAAAGCAAGTCATAAGTGATTGATACATGGTGTAAGTTAGGAAAATGTTACACCCAAGCTAAAGAGGTCTTATCTTATGTTTTCTTAGTTCATCAGTTGGCAGTACAGGGAGTGGAAATGGTTTGGCAAATACAATGAGACCAGCTTCAAATCTTGAAAAACTAGTAAGTATTGAACATAAGGTCGTAATTCATGGAAATCTTTTTTTTCTTCTTCTTCTCTTTTTTATTTTATTTTATTTTATTGAGGAGGGGGGGGGGGGGTTTCCTCTTTTTATTTGCCTAGAGTGCATGCCATAATTATATCCATTGCAAGAAGTTTGTTTCTTCTATCTTGGATAAGGGCTTTAAGCTGTAGGCCCTGCCTCCCAACCCTTCCTAACCTGCAGTAAAATGGGGGGACAAATGAATTATTTGTGTAAGAGTAGGGGATTGTAATTCCAGTTCAACAGACTATCCCAATTTGGAGGCATAACACTAAGTACTAACAATTCACTCATATTGTAAGCTGCAGAGCTGCTAACAGTGCCTTAATATGAATTGCACAAATTTGCACAAATTGGTAAATTCAGTAGACCACAGACCTACAAATTTTTTCACAAATTTGTACAATTTCGTTACAGTAGTTAACTTTTTCTAGGATATACGGTTGCACTCTACCAATGTTCAGTGTTGCATAATACATAAAGAAAAGAATCACCTGTTTCTCTCTTTCCTATCTCTGTCTTGATCCTGTCATCTACAATCATGATAATGAGTAGAATTTTATTACCATTGCCATGATAACACATACACATTAATTGCAAATCGGTATACAAATCTTGTCAGTCACACTTCACAGTCAGTCACATTTAGATACAGTTACAGAGTGGTCATGCCTAAGATTTTTCAAACTGTTATATGCCCTGTGTTGCATGATCATATATTAAGGTGCCAATCAGGATTACTACTAATAATATTGATGCATGTAAAGATAGTGTACTATACGTGCTTCCCTTATTTTTCTTTGACTTTACTACTTTAAATTTCAGCTTAATCAATTGCCACCTGAATTAAGAAAAACCACATGGGATTTAAGAAAGCAAGTTGCTATACATCTAAATCCACTCAAAGACCCAATAGGAAATGACTACCGTCTTGTAGGCTCGCGTCTGGGATTCCAAGCAGACATCATTGAAGGTTTTGGCAAAAGTCCAGATCCTACTATGGAAATGATAAATCTTTGCATGACTACATCATGTCAAGAGTTTTTTAATATAGTGCACAATGCTGGCCGTTCAGATGTTATTGAAGATCTATTGAGTTACTTAAATCATAGTAGTAATCATTATTGTCTGACGACACAAGAATCTCTGGAAGATGAATATCTTAGTCGCCCATTTGAAGAATCTTGCAGGTGTGTGTTATTTTAMATCATTAGGTTTAAGACCTTTAACCTCATGAATAATAGACGATTTCCGAGATGCACAAGCGCTTTCATAAACATTCCAGGCTCAAACATTAAAACAAGGCATTTTYGGGTGGTGTGATAATTAAGAAACCATTGGAAACCATAGAGACATGCGTCAATTTACACCATCCCCCAACTTCACTTTTTTAACAGCACTGGGACATTTTTGGCATGTGGTATTGCTCTGATGCCTCTCACCCCTAGGGCCTAGGCTTCGATTCCTAGACTAGTACTATACATCACATGTGAGTAAAGAGTGTTGGGTTTTCCCTCCACGAAATCTAACATGCTAAATTCTAGCTAATTTAACCCAGTTAACTGTGCTTCAACTTCAAACAGATCTGAAGTTGTTCCTGGTAATAATTATAAATAAAATTTGGAGTTGAAGTCCCTAGAAATTAATATCTCTAACAAATTATTGTTCCCTGCATTTTTTGTCTCAGCAATGTATCAAAACTTTCAAAACAACCTTCAGAACAAGAAGGTAAGATTTTTTGTATTTTATTTATTCTTACGAACTCCATTTTTTTCTTTTTTCATTTTCAAGTTACAGTGTTTGTGTTTGCAATTCTGAGTGCTATCAATAAAATGCGAGTCATTTTATATTTTCAGTAATAAAGCATGCAGGAAGTGCTGTAAACACTCAAGAAGTGTGAGAGGCAATCACCTACGGCTCATGCTTCTCCTTAAAGTTCTTTTGTGCTTACATCACTTCCTGCATGTTTATTACTGAACAGAGCACAGAAAAAGCTGTTTTATTTGTTAAATATTGACAGGAAAACATTGAACTTTTTACAACAATAACCAACAACTTTTACCTTTTTATTTATAGTAGAAAGTCTATCAGATTGAATAAAATTAATAAAGCTTTATTTTATGCTTGCACATATTTTTACAACAATATTTTATTAAATTATAGAGTCAGAAGTTAAAGAACAAAAGCCAGGCATACCATTTGAAGGATCCAGAGAGTTTTGGGATGGAATTCCAGGTCCATACTCCCAAAAGGTAAATCTAGCTTTTTATATACTAAGAATCATGCAAAATGACGTTTCGAACATTTATATTTTATGTTTCTGAGGGCCTAATATTTTTCGTGTTGAGGGTTTTTTATTCCTTCCTTCCTTCCTTTCTTTCTTTCTTTCTTTCTTTCTTTCTTTCTTTCTTTCTTTCTTTCTTTCTTTCTTTCTTTCTTTCTTTCT